CTNTATATATATATATATATTAAGGTGATTAAAAATGTTATAAATATAATTTAAAAGTAATTAACGTACAAAAAATACCTTATAGTAAAATATATTAACATAATAAATTAATTAAATTGTGAAACCTTCTAATTAATATATTATTAAACTCCTTTTTTCATTATATGGAAACTAATTATTTCATGGTTTTACTGTATAGTATTGAATGTCCTATATTTTTATTTATGGTTTCTGTTGTCTATCATTTTTTTAATCGTTGAACAATTATGGCTAATCATTTTAAAATTAGATATTCTTATTAAAAAAATTAAAATACTTCTAGTATATGAGAAAAATTAATTAATTTTATTTTCAATGTTTTTAAATAAATTTTGAGATTTTAAAGATTTTAAGTTGAAGGATATGAACAAAATAAATAAATATGTTTGATTTAAAAATTAACTAAACTAACATCCTTTAAGAATTAGAAAATAATTGCATTTACACACTAATAGGTATAAAAATATTGCAAAATTATGTGCACGGAATGTGGACCAGGAATATGAGAACAAGCCTTAAATGAGTAACAGTAATCTACTGTTCTCAATTAAGAAAATAATAATAACATTTAAAAAAATAAATTTTTATTTCATTTAATAATATTTTCCTAAAATAATATAATTTTAATTAATATATGATATTCATTTACATTATCATAATATTTACTTTCAGTTTTAAAATACAATTTAATAATAATATCAATATTAGTAAAACTGAATACAATTAATTGATCTTTTTATACAAATGAAAATACAGGTAGTAGCTGATAAAGCTAGAATTAATGTTGTGTTATGTAATTTAGAATGTAATTCATTTATCAAAGAATTTAAATCTTTTTCATAATAGAATAATTTATTTTTGATGTAATAATAGGAAAAAAATTAAAATTTAAGAAATTTTGGAAGATATTTTTATAATATCTCAAATTTATAATACAATCTGTTTAATATGTATTGACCCGTACTCAACCTATACATAAGAGAGATAAAAATTTGACTTTTCTAAAAATGTGTGGATTATAAACACTATTTATTCCACTAAGTAAGATGGACCAAAATGTGTTTGAAGATATACTTTTACAAGCTACAAAGTTTAATATATTCAAATAATTATTCAACTTCAAGTATAATTTAGAGGTAACTTTGTATAATATATCTTACGGGAATATTGGATGTCTGTAAATAATATATAATAATTTAATAATAATTTTTCTTCAATAACATCATTTTCATCTTTTGTTATTCTCTGAATAAAAACCATTCTTATCGAACCCAAATAGGGATTCAATTTGTGAATTATTTTATAAATATAAAAAAAATTAAAGCTTAGAAAATATATAATAAAAAAATCAAAAATTAAAACATTGAAATATTTTAAACTGGAACTTTTTTCTATATAGTTAAATATTTTCTATTATTTTATCTGCAACTTATAGTTTTTTTAAAAAAAATGATCGTTGCTTGTAAATTTCAACGCAATCAACCATGTCTACAAACCTGATTTATGAAATCTAAAATAAATTAAAAAGTTAAATTAAAATAAATAATTTTCTCAAACTGTCCAATCGGACAATTCAAAATTTAATACAAACGATTAAAAGATTAATCGTTTGTGTTAAATTTCAAACGGAACTAAGTTTTACTCAATGATTTGATACTTATAATCTAACATGTGAATTATAATAACACAACTATCACATGCATATTCAAAAACCAATAACACATGCAGAGCTTAAAGTAAAAAACATGCATACGCAAAAGTCAATAACATGTATACGCAAAAGCCAATAACATGCATACAAAAAAATTATCAACAAAGAAGCTAACCTTTTTAGCAGATTCAAAAAGCAATGCAGAGAAATGGAGTAATGCAGGCCCAAAAACGTATACCAAAAACAGTCAAAAGCTCTGCCCAAGTTAACAAGCCAGAAATTGCACCAAAACGTAACGGAAACAAATTTTAATCGGTTCAAATGGAAGATATTTCATGAAAGAGTAATTTAATCGGAGTAAAAGTAAATTAAAACGTTCCAAAAGACAGGAAACGCACCTGGAAATGCAATGTGTAATAGAGAAAACGCGGGGAAGACGATGAACAATGAGCGTAACTCCTTGCGGGTTCACGTTTTCAATATAAATGACTGTAGATGTGGGGGGGTTAGGGGCCCCGACTATACTATTATAGACGTCGGGCCCCCCCTAACGACGGACATGTAAATAGCTGGAAAAAAAAACTTTTCACCTACCCTGTTAGCCATTTAGACATCCATTGGAGGGGCCCGATGTCTATAAAAATAAAAATGATTAAAAAAATATTTATAACATTCAATTGCTTCAAGGACCTAATTGCTTCAATTTTCAAAAAATAAAGATCCAATTGAGAGAGAAAAACAAGTAAGGGACCTATTTGAGTAAAATCACCAAAAATAGAAACTATTTGTATGATTAAACCTGTTATTAAATAATAATTTGCATATAATACTGCATTGGTAAAATATATTTTAAAAAAGATATTTGTACCATACACCTGTAGAGACAAGTGGGAGACCGCCTACTAGTGTAAAATAGGCTTTTTATAGCTATTGTTTATATTTGTTGAAATTTATAAGGTATAGAAAATAATGAAATGATAATATTATAAATAAGATAAATCTTTTCACACCGGTTATACTGAAAATAAGTATAAAAATTAATATAATAGCAACATCGTAATAAATGATAAATAATTCTAAACTGGTTAGATTGAAAATAGGTATAAAAGTTCATTTTTTATATCAACTACATCTACAACCAGTACGAAATATTTTTCATTTTCACGCTTCACTTCCTCTACGCGCGTTTTCACTCTCATGTTGCATTTCTAATTCGTCTGCAACACTGCGGCCCTTGCGCGCGTCTTCACTCTCACGTTGCATTTCTAATTCGTTTGCAACACTACGGCCCTTTCCAGTTAGCCAAATCACTGCTTCACTTCCTCTGTGCGTGTCTTCACTTTCATGCTACACTTCTTCTCCTTTGCTTCTAAATCGCCAAATCACTCATCAAAACCCTCGTGCTCTTGGACCGCGACTTCCTAGAAGGGTTAGATCCTTTCTTTTGCTATATTTGGGCGATTAGGGTTCTGCGACAACACAAGAACGAAGAAGGTGCGTGATTAAGAGGATGAAATGTGTTTTGGAAGGGTCTTTCATTGAAACTCAGGTACCAAAGCTCACCTCATAACTCACTTTTACATTGAATAAAAGATTATTGATCCACTAGGGTGTTTATAACCATCGTTTGGCTTTGTTGCCATCATCATTTTGATTTCAATGTTTCTTATAATTGCCAACATTTGTTCAAACCGACCTCACAATTCTCCAACCAGAATCTATGATTACTTAATGAAACTTAAAGAAATTATGAGGAAACCAGAATAAAACAGAGGAGAGAAAGAGAAACGTAAGAAAACCAATGCGGTTGGTGTGCGTTTCCTTTCTAAGAAAAACATAAAAACAACATAGAAGGGAGGAAAGCATGTAAGAGTGTGCTATAGAAATTTTCTGAACCTCTAAGAAAGTGAGAGCAATCAAGGGAGGAGGCTTGGGATTTAGAGCACCAAGAGTAGAGTTTTCTTTGCTGGAAAATGAGGTAGGGGAGCATTAAAATATTTTATTTTTATTTATGTTAGTATTATCATACAATAAAATGATACTGTTTAAATCACATCACAACTGATTAAAAACATGTTGTTGCTGATTTTAGCTTGAACATGTGGCTCTTAGATTGTAGTTAGTTTTTATAAAAATTGTTTCTAGGCTCTTTTGTTTGTTTGAATGTGTTTAGAAAGTAGCCATTGGCCATGGTAGTTGTAGGTTTTTGTGAAACATCACCACCAGCTTAGTAGATGAAAATAAAAGTTAAATTGAGTTCTTTGAACAAGTGGCCATCTGCCTTCTGTCATTTAGAATTTCGTTATAAATCTTTGCATGAAAGGTTGGGTTCTTGTGCAGGGCAAGATGCCTCAAGATTACATGTGAATGCTTGAAAGAAAGCAATCTAAGCATTATCTGTATCATGGTACAATTTTGTATGCCAGAATTTGCGATTTAATTATACCATAATCAAATTTAGGCAACTTTAAAACCAATGTACTTTTGTATCATTCATTGAATTTTCTGTTTTAATGCTTTAAAAAAATTGACCATATATGTAGTTGCGTTTGCCTATAATTTTTTTAGCTACCATGGATCCACAACTTAAACCATGAAAGCAGTAATCTTAAATATTGTCCCTGCTATCGCGAACTGTTTGGTGGTCTGGACTAACATAATTGAATATTTTTCCGAGTGCAACTCACAAAAGTGCATTAGCTCTTCACAATGGTCAAGGAGAACCAAGTATGAGACCATTTATTGGAAAGACGTGAGAACTTCTATTTCAAGCATTATACCTTATTCAAATTTAAACTTTAACTTTAGTTCATTATATTCTTAGTTTCTCATCTTAGTTAATCAGGTTTTATATATAAAATATGTGCAAGTTATCAAACACTATTATCCAAAAGTTGTTATATAAAAAGCAAGTAGAGCTACAATTACTTATTTTGTCCTTATATGAATGAAATGGTGCAGAGATAATAAGGAGTTTAATCCAAAAGGGTTCTTCATTTTGTATTTTCTTTGTGCCGATTTTATCCCAAGTCTTTCGTTAAGTATGATGAAGAAAAAGTGGAGAGCAATTTTAGACCTTTTTCCTATAAGGAAAAAATAAATTGAAATTCAAATAGATAATATATTTACACATAAATAAGATAATTCTTAAAATTATACTAAAAAAAGTTATATAAGTTAACTATGTATAATTACATTCGCTCAATGTTCTTACTATAATTAATTACTTTTATTTTTTTATCAATGAAATTAATATATAATTACAGAGATTTCTAAGCGAATTAACGGAACAAGTAATTGTCTCTTTATTTATGCTTGTGAAGATTTTTAAATTTTATGGTTCATGTTAACTTTCTGTTCCCATTATACTAATAAAAAGTTGGACATGAGCACATGACAGGGTATCATTTACGAAGAAACAAGCAGATCTTTTCTTCCCCCTGATTTACTGATGATTTTCCAGTTTCCATGCAGGTACAGAAGTTGCTAGTACTTGTTCATTTTATAAACAGTGTAGATATTTGATCCCTACTTTGTTTTTTGGCAGATATCTCACAAATACAATTTGATTTATGTGATTACGAAACTTGGGCTACTATTTGTGTATGATTTGGAGACAGCTACAGCTGTATACAGGAACAGAATCAGTCCTGATCCTATATTTTTGACCTCAGAGGCTACATCTGTGGGAGGCTTTTATGCCATCAACAGGAGAGGCCAGGTCTTATTGGCTACTGTTAATGAACAAACCATTGTGAATTTTGTCAGTGGTCAAGTATGTTTCTGACCTTGTTATTTTTTTTTTGTTGTAAATTGGAGTATTAAGTGGTAATTTTACAAATTACATATTGTTATTGTAACAGTTAAACAATTTGGAGCTAGCAGTTAGTCTTGCCAGAAGAGGAACTCTACCTGGTGCTGAGAAACTGGTATGTCAATTGTGTAGAACTCACTTTTAGTAATACTATATTTCTTCAAGGATTTGAGTGGCCATGTCTTGTAACTCTTCATGGATGTCACATCATCAGTTGAGGCTGTGATCCTGTCTTTCCTTTTTAGTCTTGCAGGTTGGTTACAAATAACACTCACATCAGTTTCATCTATTATTAGACAGTTGTAAGTGAGATGTCGAGTAATTTGATTAACTCTCTACCGTTTTAGGCTTGATATTCCTTTTGCAGGATGCTGAACTTTCGAGTACACTAATACTTGCTCTTAGGGGTGGTCACCGAGGCAATAAGGAAAATTGTATTCCTCTTCAATATGCTTCCATTTTGATTTCAAAGGGTTTCTTTTGTAGTCCACTGGAGATAGGAATGATAATTGAGATGCATTTAAAAATGGTTAGTTGTGGAACAAAATTATAATTTCACGCCCACTGTTTGCTTTGTTACTACTCTTTCTGTTGTTTTTTTCTCTGGAGTTTTAACTTTGTTTCAGGTTTGTATCTAATTGAGATGATTTTTGTGCTTGCTCTAGGCCAATGTCACTGNATTAAGTTGTTTGCTGGATGCACTCTGACTTGGTGTTGCTCATGTTTAAATCGTTCTTAGGGTTATTTTGCATTTATGATAAGCTTATGATATCAGCATGTCTTTGATAAGCTAAAAAAAGTTGAGTTAAGTTGTTTACTTGGTGCACTCTGGCTTGGTGTTGCTCATGTTTCATTTAGGAATTTTTTGCATTTATGATTTTGGTGGGAAGTTTATACTATGTTTTGTTGTGTTGAACTCATTTTTCGTGTACATTATACATGAATTTTTGAAGCTATTTGCACTAGTTTTATTAAATGTAAAAATGGCGTATGACCTTGTTATAAGTTTTTTTAATCTTATTGCAATAGGTTTCATGGTGATTGCTAAAAGTTATTAAAATAAACTTTTTAGTTTATTTCTGTAAGCTTCATGGTAAGCTTTTATGATATATGCATAGATAAGCTTAAAATAAGTGTTGAATTAAGTTTTTTACTTGATGCACTCTGCCATTGTGTTGCTCATGTTTAATTGGGCCTTAGGATTCATGTTTACTAGATGCACTTTGCATTTGTGGTTTTGGATGACTTTTGAAGTTTTTATAATACTTTTGTTCATTGCTGGTGACATTTTCAGGGCGACTTCACCTCCATCATTTGCAATAGAGGTTTTTGTTCATTGTGAGGGAGAGACGAGGTTTAGAAGACTTTGTCAGCCCTTTCTCTATTCACAATCTTCATCAAATGTACTAGAAGTAGAGGTATTTATGAAATTTTAGACCATTTTCTAATCTGACTATTATTAAGTGTTTGGTTCCTTGTTACCCAAACTGTTTTAATATTTATTTACTGTTGAATATAGTGAAAAACTATATTTAGATTAATCTCCCTTGTGTTAAATACACACATAGGATTCTCTATTTATAATAGAAGAAATATGGGCTAAGCCCAAAATACAAATGAGAAATAATAACAAACTAACTAAAAGATAAAAGATATAATATATCTAACATTTACTTCTATTCCGTTTGGATTTGTTCAAAGGTGTATCAATATTGTTGTATTTTTTTGTTTGATCCATTAATTGTATGGTGTAGATATTTAGCTTTTGTTTTTTTACAGATAGATGCAAAAGATGTATTTCATGAGAAGTAATTTGTATGTCAAACTCATAGTTAAGTAAATACTAATGCGTAAAAGATCTTTTGACATGATTTAATCTAATTTAATTTGTTTGGTGACTGATACTAGTGAAAAGGATATTATTGAAATTCTGAGTAGGTATGGTTCTTGTTTGCTTATCATATATGTTTTTATAAGAGTAATGTATACTATTAATTTACTAAAGATGTTTGGTGGATGCATTGTCCTCGTTATTTCACTTTATTGCCTAAGGTTGTGTTCTGGTTGTTTATTTTGAAAGAATACTGTCTTATTTTGCTAATTTCCCAAGGGAGATTAAGAAAAATAATTATTTAAAAAAAATATTTCTATCCAAAGATTTGTACCATTTTGGTGTTTACTCCTTTCTCTTTCTCAGGCTGTTGTTACAAGTCATATAGTTGTAAGGGGCAGCTATCGCAGTCTGAGTATGGTTATATATGGCAACACAGCAGAGGATCTGGGTCAGTTTAACATTGATATTGATGACAATGCATTGACTGATCTTGTTGATTCTACTGAGGGGAAGCTTGAAGACCTGCCACCTGCATTACACTCTACTAATTTTACAATTCGTGAATCACGTTCTTCTCTGAACGTGTTGTCTATTCCTGTTCCTGCAACAAATATTTCTCTTGAAGTCAATATTTTTCTACAGTTGATGCTAAAAATTTTGAAGTTTTCAGATCTTGGGGATGCTGGTCATAAAATTGTAAATACTGTAGTGTCTGCAATCTCTTCTTACATTTCCAGTGACATATGTGAATCAATCAGTGGGAGATATCAGATGTGGAAGAGATCTGAGAATTTGGAAGAGTTGCACAGTGCAATTAATGAGGCAAGAAAAGAGCTTCTTGAGGTTTATAAGGTTCTTCATGAGAAATCTAGGAGTGAATCTGCCGATTGTTCATCAGAGGGCAATTATCTTGAAATGGATGTTGAAATGTTGGATTCCAAAACGTTAGTGGATATGTTTAACCAGTACTTTCACTTCCAAACACACTCTTCATGTATAGGGGATCACTTCCTTTCTCAGGTAATATATTGTTTTTTTGTCAATTGTTCTGCTAGCATCATCCTATTTGTTGAGAAAGTTAGAATCTAATTACATTTCCCCCTATATTGCTTATTAGCTTGTGTTTTCTGTTCATCTTTCCCCCCTCGCTAATGTATCTGCTTGCTTAACTGCAGAGGGAGCATGCCTTTTTAGGATTGAGCATGTTTTATTTGCTATGTTCTGCTAGAGAGAGTTGTTTTCAGTTTGTTAGTAGTGGGGGAATGGAGCACCTGAGGGTGTTCTTTTCCAAGGATGGGCAAAATTCTACTACTGTTATGCTACTGCTTCTTGGTGTTATAGAGCGGGCTACTAGGTATTCAGTGGGATGTGAAGCCTTTTTAGGTTGGTGGCCTCGGGAAGATGAAAGTATTCCCTCTGGTATCAGTGAAGGTTACAGCCATTTGGTGAAATTGATATTGTCAAAACCTCGGCATGATGTTGCTTCTCTTGCAACCTATTTGCTTCATCGCTTACGGTTTTATGAAATTGTTTCTAGATATGAGGTATTTCTTTCAATGATTGTGCTTGACATAAATGTTTCTTTGAATTTCTGAACTCCATCTTTATCTTGTAATAATTTAATTTTTGCCAGTCAGCAGTTCTTTCTGTGCTGGAAAATGTCAGTACTGTTGGCAGGATTACAGATGCCACACTGAATATGCTCAGCTCAGCTGAAATTTTGCTCAGAAAGCTCCTGGTCAGTTTTAATTTGATCAATTATGGCTTTAGTAGTATTATAAAGTAGTAATATGCAGAATTTTATTTTATATTTCCCCACTATGTTTTTCTTTTCTTTTGCCTTCTGACTTGTTTTTTGTAATTTTAACTTTAAAAAAGTTTATTGTTAATGTTTGTTAACAAGTACTAATGCAGAAATTGATAAATTCGCGTGGTCCAACTGAAGATCCTTCTCCCATAGCTTGTGCAAGCAGATCACTGATTACTGGTCAAACAGATGGATTGTTGTCATATAAAACAACTTCCAGCTTGATAAGCTCTTCAAGTTGTTGCTTTTCAGATTCAGATATTGATTCACATTTATTGGGGCTTTTGAAGGTACACTGTTTTGTCAAGACAAGTTCTTTTTTTTTTTGTTTTTTTTTTTCCAGAAATGTTGCCTGCTGTTGTTTGAGATGCATCTTGTCTAACTTAAACATCATGTGTTTGCCTTAAGTAAAATCTACATTTTTGTCTGTATCTGTATATTAATAAAGGAAGATGGTATTGGAATGTGAGAGCTGGAGACTGTTTTTGTTTTGCAGGAGAGGGGTTTTCTTTCATTATCAACTGCATTGTTGTCATCATCTGTATTGCGTTCGGAGAGTGGCCATGTCTTGGAACTCTTCATGGATGTCACATCATCAGTTGAGGCTGTGATCCTGTCTTTCCTTTTTAGTCGTGCAGGTTGGTTACAAATAACACTCACATCAGTTTCATCAATTATTAGACAGATGTAAGTGAGATGTCGAGTAATTTGATTAACTCTCTACCGTTTTAGGCTTGATATTCCTTTTGCAGGATGCTGAACTTTCGAGTACACTAATACTTGCTCTTAGGGGTGGTCACCGAGGCAATAAGGAAAATTGTATTCCTCTTCAATATGCTTCCATTTTGATTTCAAAGGGTTTCTTTTGTAGTCCACTGGAGATAGGAATGATAATTGAGATGCATTTAAAAATGGTTAGTTGTGGAACAAAATTATAATTTCACGCCCACTGTTTGCTTTGTTACTACTCTTTCTGTTGTTTTTTTCTCTGGAGTTTTAACTTTGTTTCAGGTTTGTATCTAATTGAGATGATTTTTGTGCTTGCTCTAGGCCAATGTCACTGACAGTCTGCTTTCATCGAATCCACAGTCAGAAGAGTTCCTATGGATTGTCTGGGAACTCTCTATACTTTCACGGTGCCAATTGCCTTATTTGAATTGAATCTTAAATATTCTTACACAGTTTAAGTTCTAAATTAAACTTGCGGATGATTTGTAGATCTGATTGTGGGCGTCAGACATTATTTCCTGAGGTATGCACCTAAATAATTAGCTGTTATAACACTGCATAAGGAGGCTTATGCTATATGATTGTATTTGTATGGTCTGTTGGCTTACTCACTGGATGGCTGGATTATTATTAAGTGACATGCTCATATGTTGTGAATTTTCGGCAGAATTCTTCAATGTCTGAGGAGTTTGAGTGAACAACTTTATTAAGCACTTAGGTAGCTCTTATCACATTAGAGATTATCTCAAATTTGACTGTTAAAAGGTGCTTATAAGGGTAGAGGCCCACATAATATTTGTGGAAGCTCTTACAAATACCTCCTAACATGTGTTGAAATTTTATTCTTTTGTCCATAATAAATTCATTGCTAATCTGCAGTTACAGAAATTAGATGTAAATGCTACAAAGATAGTTTGGGTTCCAGAACTTTTGTTTCATTTTTACCAAAGCCTTTAGACATAACCCGTAGAAACTATCTGAAAATGGAACATTTGGATTTACTAATTTGTTACTCAAAAATGTCTGGTGGGGAGAGAGGGAGGAATTGGAATGAAAATGTACAAGGGAAAAGTTGAAAAATCCGAAATCCAAACTTGGCGAGATATTTTGAGAAGTTTCAGATTTGATTTCTATTGTTTTTAATTCTGTATGTTGGCTATATCTTGATTTTATTAATAGCATATCAATCCCACAATCTCAGGCATTTGTTTCCTAGAATAGGCAGTGCTTGTTTCCAAATTTATCCAATTAATGTATATATGTATATCATATGTATGTAATGAGACTATAAATTATTTTCTTCTAAACTTGAGAAAACTTTCTTATCTTGAATGGTAGTAAGCTGGGTTGAAAATAGGATCAGTAAAACCATATGGAGTTTAGTTTTACCAGCTTCCCTATATTTCAAGCTCTCATTGTACTGTCTATGTTCATATTTTCATTTTATTTCTGCTGACATATTTTCTAATGCTAAAAAATGGAATTTATTTCTGACTTGCTAGAAAGTTCTGTTTAATCTTGTTGAAAGGATGTTCTAATTAGCTTATATCATTGTTCCTAGATGACAATTGATGAGGTGAAGCGCACTGCACAACAACAAATGAACAGAACATTAAAGGATCATGCCGGGTTATATTCTCTGTCTTGCTCTATTATATATGTGAGCCACAAGTAAGAAACTGTTCTATCACTCATTTATAGGTGCTGATTGGATCCTCTTAGAACTAACGATGTACAAATATTCATTCGCTATTATAATTAGTACTTTTAACTACCTAAAATACTTTTTTTTTCTGGGGTAAATAAGTTCCACATTTAGTGTTAATTTCTTTATGATTCTTTTGTACTATTCATGCACATAAAAAGATTAAACAAGATATTTTCTGGTGACAGGATCAAATCAAGGTAGCAAAATTTGACTTTGAGAGGGTGGCCACTCACTGTGAGTAATTCTGTTTAATTTGTTTTTTTTATGTGAATTAATATTACTTATCCTAGTGAAGGCCATATTATGTCCTGTTGAATGTGATATCATATTTTGACAATTATTTTCTATTAAAATCACATGATTATAAATTTATGTCCCTGAATTTGACTGACTTGATTTTTGTACCATACAAAGAGTAGTAAATAGGTTCCTATCATGATTATTTGAATGCACCTTCAGGTTTATAAAAAACAAATTGGTAACTTATTATTAAGCCATTAATATTATAATTAAGATATTAAGCCATTAATATTATAACTTGACTCAAAGTATTCATTGTGTAGATATTTGATGACACATTTCTAATGGAGCAACATGTCATAAAGGATGTTTGGGAGCAGTGGACTGCATTTTTTTTAACCATTTGTAAATGATTAGATGTTTCAATATTACATTTTGAATTTAGGAACTATTTTATATGTAATTATATTAAGTAACTATGTTAGGTAAATATATTTAGAAACTTTGTTAGGTAAATATTACATTTTGATGTGTTATTAATTGATATAATATTGATTATTTTAATCGTTATTGATTATTTAAACTGTATTCTGGGATTGAATTTTATGCAGGTCTGAATATGGATAGTAGTACATACAAATAAAATATTTTAAAAAAAACGTCACTTTTTACACTGGTTAAATCTATATCAGATATAAAAAGTCTTGTTTTTTCACACCGGTTATAGTACTAGCAGGTATAAAAGTGAGATTTTTATACCTATTCTAGCACCTGGTGTAAATATTAGACTTTTATACCTATTATAAACAGAATAGGTATAAAAGTAAAACTTTCTACATCGGTTCTAGAGTAGGTATAAAAATCGAAAACTTTCTATATCCTCTACTTCTATACCTACTCAAAAATAGGTATAAAAAGCCTTTTTAAGAGGTATAAAAAACCTTTTTTGCACTAGTCCCGACCATAGAATAAGGTGGCCAAGCGGCCCCAACACTTATGCAACCTTAAGCACAATCTTTGATCAAGTTTACTGGTAAGTTTAACTTATTAGGTATTGGATCGTGATTACAGTTCTGCTAATCATAAGCTCATCCTTAAACCTATAAATACAAGTCTAAGGTTGGAGGTAGGTGATTGCATTTATTGTGAATTTAAGATTTTATTGTAACCTTCGATCGATTAAATTACTGACTTGAGCATCAGAGTGCCTTTGACAGGTACCTGTCCACACTGTTTGTAGCGTAGACATTGAGGACATAGAAGAATTAGATTAAGTATACTCAAGATAACCTAAGTGGATCAGGAGAAAAGTGTAAAGGAGTGTTTGACAGTGATTCTCGACCCCACACTAGAAACATTTTAGCACCCACCAAAGGGAACGGTTTGTAGAGGATAAGGGCGATTAGGCTTGCTAGGAACGTGGACTGCCTAGCTGGAAGATGCCGAGAGGGGGTCCCGAGACTTTGGAGCCTCAATGGTTTTCTTAAACTTGGCGGTGGCAGCCACTTCTTCGAAGAGGCTCTTCTTCTTCGGTGGAGGGGCGATTATGATGCCTGAAAGAAAACCAAAAACCTAGCCAACTTAAGATTAATCACCTAATAAAATTAATAAAAAACAAAGACATCATATCAAACGCCTCAGCACTAAAGTCCTCATGGTCGAGGCACTCAATAAGATGGTGGGTGGGAAGGCGGTGTGGTAGGCTATTGATGATCCCGATCGCTTCAATCTCGACCATTGTCGTAGAGGTTCGGGACCAAGAGGTCATCTTCCGGGGACACTTCGTCCAACAAAGACGAAATTTTGAACACCTAACATCATAAAAAAAAAACTCTAAGCGCCTAGTCTCCTTTATTGCGACTTTGAAGTATTTGGTCTTAAACCCTTTGAAAAATCTCAAACAATTTAAACAACACTTCTTCTCCATTGAGATAAGAGATAACCAACCTCGCTTGACGATCGAACACAAACAAAAGTAATGGAGGAAGATGGCGGGGGTGAGAGTTAAGTCCAAAGTGGAGCATATAACCGTAAACACTTGCATACACACCTAACCGTTCGGATGTAATTGGGTGGGAGCCACATTTAACTCCCTCAACACAGCCGCCTAAAAAATGGTAAAGGGAACTCGAACGAATATTTGAGTGAAGAGATAGGTGTACACGAAGAAAAAATCTTCAACTTTATTCCCTTTACCATGATATACCCGCTTATTCCCCTTACAAACTGTGATCTTAATTAAAGCAATGTCCTCCATGTTCCGCATGATGCAGACTCATTCGGCCCATTCCTCCAGGTCTTACTTCAAGCTAAAGCAAGTGACATAGTCACCTAATTCACGAGACGTCTAGTCATAATTCGAGATCACTGGCAAGGTTTGCTGAAACTCATTCCCTTCATTTTGCCCATCAATCTCCACCCTTCCATAATGAAGATCAATCGCTATGCCAGAAAAGAACATATCACTATATACATCGGTCGAGCCGTCAGCCGAGCTGCTATCCTGCTCGGTTGTCTTAAAGATAGAAGAAGACATAAAGCTCAAAGACGAGGATCGCGAGTCATTGCCAATAAACCCTCTATTGCCCTTTCCTAACGACTCCTCAAATGAAGATAGTTGAACGATAGACATTTTATTACCTAAAATTAAGAATGAACCGAGCGGTAGGTAAAGGAAATGAGAGGAATTGGTGAAAATGATAGCCAAAGTTCACTCTTATATATAAGAGAATCCTACGTAACTACCAGTACTCATCCATCGCTGGATTTAACCATGATCAATGGTAGATCAAGTGCCTCTGCCACTTCTTCGAGGTGCAAACCACGAGGCAAGGTACACGTTCTCCCGCCAGTGCCCATCCACAACCAGGATTCAACATCAATTCGAGAGGTAGAACATCTATCCGAGCGAAAAGCGAACACCCACGAGCATGGTCTAGTACCCTGAAGGGCCTTTGTAACAAACCCCAATGCTAGGGCTTGGGGGACCTATGTATCGTACACCCGTACAGGTAAGTGGGAGACCGACTGACCATAGAATAAGGCGCCTAAGCAGCCCCAACTCCCATGTAACCTTAAGCACAACCTCTAATAAAGTTTACTAGCAAGTCTCGCTTATTATATATTGGGCCGTGATTACAGCTCTACTAATCATAAGCCCATCCTAAAACCTATAAATACAAGTCTGAGATTAGGAGGTAGGTGATTGCATTTATTGCGAATTTAAGATTTTATTGTGATCCCCAATCGATTAGATACTGATTTAAGTATCAGAATGTCTTTGACAAGTACCTACCCGTACAGTTTCGAGTATAGACATTAAAAACGTAGAAGACTTGGATTAAGTATACTCAATAATCTAAGTGCATTAGGAGAAAAGTGTAAAGAAGTGTTTGACCATTATTTTTGATTCCATATACAAAACAATATTCAAATATATTAGCATAAAAATAATAAATTAATTAAAATGTAAAAGTTATGTGAGCAATGGTTTTTAATTAATGTATAGTAAGAAACCTTCTGCGTTTATTCATTAAACTCGGTTTTGAAAGTTTACGTTTATTCTTTTGTTAGTTTACATTTCTTCTGCCAAACCTAAGAAATACATATATTGGCATTTATTACAAAGTAATTATTTTACAGTTTTATTCTATGTCTTTAACGTCCAATATTTATTTATAGCATTTACCGTATAGCATTTACTAATCATTGAAGAGTTATGATTATCTTTCTTAAAATTCTATATTTTTATTGATAAGTTTTCAGCATATTTCTGGTACATTAAAAATTAATTAATTATATCTGCAAAGCTTTTGAAATAAAATTTGAGATTCTAAAGATTTTAAGTGAAAGGATATAAAAGAAAGATATAAATATGTTCGATTTCATTATTTTTTAAATAGTACTTATGTTATTGATATAAATGAGTAATAAAATATTTATATTAGTAAATTAAGTGCTCCATCTAGTTATAATCACAAATAGAATCGTCGAAATCTCTTAAATATTAAGATTTTTTTAACAAATGAAAATAATGGGGATTACAATTTTATTACCTATTTATTTATGTGTTTTTCAATATTTTGTGTAAGAGTTTGTTAAAGAAGAACTAAATTGTTTATAAACAATGATGAGATTTTACTCATAAAAGATAAGATTATATTTACCGGCTCTTTTTCTTAATATGTTGGGAATGTGAGTACAATATAGGGTTTGGAACTTAAGTTGAAAACAACCTAAAATTAGAATTATCATCACGAGGACTTAGTAACGCATATTTCACCTATCGATGACTAAAAAAAATCCGTTAATAAAAATTACTAATTGTATTGTATGATATATTGACGGTTATCAAATATGACCGATCGGTTTATCAATCATTGGTCAATCTGGTCAAATGATTTTCAAGAACATTGACTGTAATTGGGCCCACAACGTTAATCAGCTGCTTCAAATGATATTTGAACCAACGTTTTAGTTTTTACTGGGTCAATGGCCATCACAAATTAAAATGATCAAAGAATAATCAAGAATATCTGATTAAAGATATTAGTCAGATTTTTTGGTAAGTTTGTTAATATTTTATTCTATTTATATTTTATTGGGCTTATGTCATTTTAAGGTCCATGAGATCACCTATAAATACAAGGTCAGGACCAAAAGTCAGAAAGCAAAGAAGACACGTCAGAAAATGTTAGTCTCTCGATCCTATAAATTTCTACCAAAACACTAATAATGATTTTTATAACGAATTTTATTATCTATAATTTTAATTTATTGGCAAATTTTATGCATTATCGATAAATTTTAACTATTGATAATATTGTTTTTTTGTAATGATTTTACTTATTCTTTTAATAGTTATATATTTATTTATATATACAAAACTAGGTATTTATGTTGTTTTTCACAATAAAAAGGTAAACCATTTTCTTGTTAACTTCAAAATTTAAGTATTATATATAAATCATTTGTTGAACTTGATTTAAAGAAAAATTAAGAAGAGAAAAGAGAGAAGAACATAGTAATAAATTGTACTAAATAAAGATGGTTATTCTTAAAGTTGATAGAAAACATAATTATAAAGATTAAATACCACAATCACCCCCAGGTCCTCCAAACTGGAGAACACATCCAAGATTATTTCCTTGATCTCCATAGTAAGTAACACCATAACATTTATTGTTGTCATTGAAGGTTACGATTTGAGAAGATTTAGGTCCATAAATGTCTCTTGATGAATCTTGAATCTCTACTGATCTAAAATAGCATGCATGGAGACTCTTCCCATCAGGAAAATGTCCAGATCCCATGGGAGGACTAGGACTACCAACTTTACCTCCTGCTCTTCCACCCCACCCTACTATGCTTGCTGAACTCAAGTCGCTGAACAATGCTGCTGGAAA